GGGGGGGGCATGTTTGCATGGCCCCGTGAGGTCCTGGCCACTTACCTGGGCCCACTAGAGCCTCTTTTTCCTGCTCTATCCTCAGAGCCCCCTAGTTTCATCAAAGAACCCAAAGACCAGATCGGCGTGTCGGGAGGTGTGGCCTCCTTTGTGTGTCAGGCCACAGGCGACCCCAAGCCACGGGTGACCTGGAACAAGAAGGGGAAGAAGGTCAACTCACAGCGCTTCGAGGTGAGTTGGGGGTGACGGGAGGCAGCCTGGGGAAAGTTCCCCCCCCAACAGGTGTGTAGCAGCTCAGTCATGGAAGATGTCACAGAAATGTTCCCCAACATAATGTGGGCAGCCAGGGCCAGTCACCCTCTCCAGCCAGGGCCCTTCTTCCACTCACTGCCTGCCAGGTGGCCCCACCTGCCTGCTTAGTAAGGGCCCTGCCAGGCTGGCTTGCTCTGCCACCTTCATGCTGTGTGGCCTCAAGTAGGGCCCTGCCCTCTCTGAGTCTTATCTTACATTCACACAGACTCACATTCAACACCACTGCTCACAGGAAGGAATCTATATACATGCACATGATCAGACATGCATGTTTCCATATCCAAAACACCTTCACATGCCAGTCACACATATTTAATGTGCATGTCACATTCCCACATTCCCACAATACTCTTTACTTTGTACATGCCCAGGCCCAGTTTTCTGCCTCTAGTGTATACATGTGGGACATCCACACACAGGCGTGTACAGCCCCCAGTTCCTCTCCCTGGACCCCTGGGATCCCAGCTTTGCCCTGACCTTCCTTCCTTGTCCATGGCAGACGATCGAGTTTGATGGGAGTGCGGGGGCTGTGCTGAGGATCCAGCCGCTGCGGACACCCCGAGATGAGAACGTGTATGAGTGCGTGGCCCAGAACTCTGTTGGGGAGATCACAGTCCATGCCAAGCTCACTGTCCTCCGAGGTATTGGGTTCCCCAGGGTTGGTGGGGGAGGAACTGGGCCCTAGGCTTTGGGGACAAACACCAAAGGCATCTGTTAAAGCCTTGCTTTGGGTTTTCTCTTTGGAAGACCTTGATCTCTCTTCTCTAGCCTCTAACACCACTGAGCCCAGAAGCTATGGATAGGATTGCGTAAAACTTTGCTGCAAAGAGGAATGTTAAGAGACTAGAGCCATCCTCACTTTTTTATCTTAATCATGCTCTTGTGATTACAAGAGGCTGACCAAACCCAGACTGGTTCAAGAAAAAAAGAGAATTCATTGGTTATGTAATTAAAATGTATGTAGAGTAGTCCAGCTTCAGGTTCAGCTGGATCCCGGAGAACACTCATACAGTGTTCTCAGAGCTCACTCTCTCTCTGCCTCTGGGCTTATTTTCTTCCATATATATCTTCAGATGCCTCCCATTAACTCCAGGCTTCCAAGCCCCCACCCAGAAGGGAGGACCGAGTGACCCAGGACTGGTGCACTTTGGCCCAGCTTGGCCATGTCTGAGCCAGTTACTATGGCTAGAGGGACAATCAGAGGACTCCAATCGGCAGAGTGTTCCTTGGAGTCCAGGGTGTGTCAGCCGCTTAGGGTCAGTAAGGCGTGGCTTCCCCAAAAGAACAGAGGAGGAATAGCTGGACAGGCAGAAGCGGCTGCCCCCCACTTCCCTGTACACTCACATGGATCCCTTGGGAACACTGCTTCGCTGGGCTCTTTCAGGCGGGTGGGGGTGGTAGTGCAGAAAATTGCTTCCTCATTATAAAACAGCAGCATTTGGACAGCCTTGCCACAAATCCCCGCCCATCTGCTCTCTACTGCCTTCTCTATTATAAAGTGGTTTTAGCCCAGGGGACTACAACTTGAGTTCAAATCCTGACGCTGCTACTCTGAAGCTGTGTAACCTTGGACAAGTTAATGAACCTCTCTGAGCTGCAGTCTCCCCACAAGGAGTGGATTCATGAATTAGATGAGTGGACGACACAAGTGAGAGAGATTCGTGCAATGCTATGCAGGGAGTGAGCACTTGGTCAAGTCTCTGTTTGATATTATTATTATTGTCGTCGTTATTTTGGTTTGAATAAGATAGCTTGGCCACCAACCATTCTGCAGGTCTCAGGTGGGTGAGTTGCTCCTGTCACCTTCAGGGATACCCTGATTCTTTCTGATCTATAAGTATGAGCCATAGCCAGCGGTTAGGTGGGAGGTGGCCCCACATGTGGCTCCCGGGGTGGTGTTCTTTCAGTGTCCTCCAGAGTGGCAGAGCTGTGGTCAGCTTGGAGCCTGGAGGAGGCATCCCATTGGCCCCAGGGACACTTTGTCCCTGACCCTGGTGTGTGACCTCTGTAGGGTCCCTCCCTCAGAAAGCTCTGCCATGACCATCTGGAAATCCTTAATAATTGTTTAACTGGAGGCCCCATCGTTTCATTTTACATGGGTCCTGGAGCCTGTCCTGCAGGAATGGAGGGAGGAGGGAGGCACAGGGAGGAGTCAGAAGCCTGGCCGCCTTGCCCCTTCCCAGCAGATATTTTTGCCCTGACCTTTCCTGGGCATAGATGGAACAGCCTGCCTCCCCTCGCGCTGTGCCAGCCTCCATTGTAAGGGCTCAGAGAGTTAAAAGAACAAGCTCGGAATCTATTAAGTGCCCTGGGCGTCTGGGAAAGCTACATCTCTGCTCCCTGCCCCCCATCAAGGCCTCCTTGGCATCTCTGTGCTCCAGCTGCTAGAAGGACGCAGTGCTTGGACTGGGCACCCAGCCCAGGGTGTTTGACCCAGGAGCGCCTGGCCTCCCCAGCTCTAGGCCCTGAGCCCCCATCCTCCCACCCCCATTGAGTGAGGAAGCTCTGAGCTGCTGGGCCCGGCATTCCTGCTTCTCCCTCCCTCCCCTGCCATCTGATTGTGGACTCCGCTCACGCCTCCCACACCGTTGTTTTAATTAAACTCCGAGGAATAGGGCACAATGTGGTACACGATGAACATTTTTGTTTAATTAGGAGCTCGCAGTAACGCCAGGCGGCCGTGGCCTTCCCCGGCACCCACGTGCCTGCTCCCACCCTGGCTGGCTGCCACCCACACGTGCTCACGGGGACTCCAACAGCTGCATGCACATGGGAAGTACTAACATGTGGACATGCATGTGGGTGCATACACAGGTGAACATGCATGCACACATATGGAAACAGGAGCACAGAGGGTTGCAGGCAGACCCAGCCTCCAGCATGCCCAGGCCAGGCCTGAGCACCAAGAATTGAGGCCCAGTAGTTTTGGCTTTGGCCTCTTTTGATGTCGTCCATACTAATGAGAACCACCTTTTTGATCATTCAGGCCTTGGGGCCTGAACACCTCAGACAGGGTCTGGCTGCTTCCTCAGACCCCAATAGGTCCAGGCCTGGTTTGGGGGTTCTGCAGCTGCCATCCCAGCCTCCTCAGGCTCAGCCAGGCCTGGGTGCCAACCCCAGCCTTGCCATGTCCTGGCTGTGTGACTTGGGGCAGGTTTGTGTCTGTCTGAGCCTCAGTTTCCCCCTCTGAGGAGGCACAGGAAGTTACCTACACAGAGCCTGGCACATAGTTAGCATTTGAGACTTGGGACTGGAGCCACTGGCCCTCCATGCGGCGACCCCTGCATGGCCACAACCACAGCCCTTTTGTTCCACTGGGGATATAGGGTGATATGGCTCCTGTCCAGGCAGCCAGTCCCCAAGCCCTACCCTGGAAGGGTGGCCATGTGATAACCGGGCCTTTGTCCTGTTTTTCCTATCTCTGCCCTCAGAGGACCAGCTGCCACCCGGTTTCCCCAACATTGACATGGGCCCCCAGCTGAAGGTTGTGGAGCGGACGCGGACAGCTACAATGCTGTGTGCTGCCAGCGGCAACCCTGACCCTGAGATCACCTGGTTCAAGGACTTCCTGCCCGTGGACCCCAGTGCCAGCAACGGGCGCATCAAGCAGCTGAGATCAGGTGAGTGCAGGTAGCCAGGAGGACCTGGGAGCCACGGAGGGCAGCAGGGGAAGGGTGGCATCTCCAGGCCTAAGCCCTGTGGAATAATGGGAGACAGGCAGAGATGCTGGGCAGCCATGGCGGGCGTTGATGATGGGGAAAGTATCTTCAGAGCTGGACCAGTGGGGATATAATGGGGCACAGACTGGCAGGGTGATGGAGAGCTGTGGTAGATGATAGGAGGAGAGCTCTTTAATGCCTGAGTGGGCATGTCCTGGGCCCAGTTATGCATAATGAGGGGGAGCTCTGGAGTCCCCAGGGCATAGTGTCTCCAGTACCCAGCAGTGGGTTCCCAGTGAGGCACAGATAGTTGCAGGTGATGGAAAGCCACAGAGGATGGTGGCTATCTGCAGTGCCCCAACAGTGGGACACAAAGTGAGAAAGACAGGCAGAGATGGTGGGGAGCCATGACAGGTGGCAAGGGAAGGCCATTTTCAATGCCTAACCACTGGGTATATAATGGGGCACAGACAGTCAAGGTAATAGGGAGCCGCGAAAGTGGCATAGGGAGAGTATCTTCTATGCTAAAGTAGTAGGCATCTCCAGAGGAGATAGTGAGCCATAGACAGGTATGGGGAGCCATTGAGAGCTGCAGGGATAGTGTCTCCAAGACTGAAGCAGTAAGGAAGTATGGGGCAAAGATAGGCAGAGGATGGTGGTAGAGGTTTGTCTGTTACGGGGCACAGACAGGCAGCCTAGCCTGTTTGTCTAGGCCCTGGCTAGGCTAGGGGGCCTTGGGACAGAGCACAATGCCTTGGTCACCTCCGGGATAGGCGGGTCCACAGCTGTCTCAGCATAGCACCCACGTGCCCCATCTGTGAGTCCATGCGTCTGGGGGGCTGTGTGTGTATTGTGTCCGTTTCCCCCCTGCCTCACGATACGTCCATGTGTGTTTGTCTGGGCTCCCTGTGCTGGCCTGATCTGTGGGCATGCAGGCCATGCCATCAGCACATAGGTTTGCCTTCTCCCTCCCAGGGCAGAGCTTGTCTGTGTGCATCTCAGCCACATGTGCACCCATGTTACAGTCCCTTCTGTGTGCTGTACCCAGGGCAGCCCCCCCCTCCCCATGAGCACATGTCTCAGGCCACAGCCCCCTAGTCCTTGTGTGTGCAGACACGTGTGGTAGGGGTGTGCTGTGTGCACTCATGCATGTTCCAGTCCGTTGTGAGTACACATGTTGGAGCACACCTCTTTTTGCTTTCTCTCTCTCCTTCCTCTGAGTACTCCACCTTGGAGCCACCCGTGCTCGAGGCCTCCCAGTTGTTCTCAGTGCCTCTTACTCATGCTCAGCCGCATCTTCTGAGGAGCCTGTTTACCCATCCTCTGCTTTCTGTTTCCCTTTCCAGGGAATACCTAAGCCCTGAAAAGGGGCAGACTTTAAGCCCAGAATCTCTACATTGGGGAGAGAGAGAGCCTGGCCCCGCCTGACCTGTCTGGGGATATTCACAGCTTTGGGGGTTCAGCTGGGGGAATGATGGCAACCTTGGGAATCCAGTTGCTTCCTTGTTGGCTTCCACCATCATCTCCCCAGTTTAGTGAAATGATTAAGAGCATGGACCTCAGGGCCTGATGGCCTGGGTCAGATGTCAGCTGTGTTCTAGAGCAAGTCCTCTCTGGGTCTCAGCATCCTTATAAAATGTGCCTACTCCCTGGCATTATTGTGAGGGGCACAGGAAGGAACTCCTGGCACATAATAGGTGCTCAGTGAACATAAGCTGCTTTATTAATTATAATAACTGATTATTCTGACTTTCCCTCCGCCCCCCGCCCCATGAGTATACAGGTTCTGCATAACTACCCATTAATGATCCTGTTCTCTTTTTCTTGTCCCTCTGTTGTAAACGTTCAGAAACCTTTGGTAAGTCTCATTTCTTCACCACGTCAACAACTAACGTTCCTTCTTTGTTCCCTTGTCCCTTCCCCCCAGACTAACAGCCACTGTGACAGTAACTGTGACCCACTCCACGTGGCATGTTTACTAACCCAGCCCTCTCCACCAGCACTCCCCACCGGCCACCCAGCCCTCCCCAGCCAGGTACCAGGGAGCTGCAGAGAGAGGAGCCCGAGGGAAAGAGGAAAAAAGGCAAGGCCACACAACCCGAGAGTGGGGGCTGAGGGAAAATCAGGGTCATCCTGGAGCTTTGCATATAACAGTCCACCTGCCCCATTCTGGAAAATGATGGAAAATGAAGTTACAGAAGTCTGGGGGCTGAGGCTAGAGTGAGAGGGGAGTTTTCTAACTGGGCTGGTACTGGGCACTACTCATCTCCTTTCCCAGCATCTAGCCTGAATTCCCTGAAACCAGCTGTAGGCTAATTCTTACTAAGGTGAGAATGACTAATCGTGGTCCTTGATTTTACTTTATGTTCCTTGGGGTACATCCTTTTCCTCTCACTGTAGTGGCCATGGGCAATTGGGCATCTTGGGGAGAAACCCTGTTCTCTAGCCTCTAGTTTCTATCGTAATCCATGTGTAGTGAAACAGCCCAAAGCAGGGGCCGACCTAGATTCCCAACTGGCCTGGATTCTAGTTCTCCACATTGCAGCTAATTCTCATTTCTTCTCTGTAAAGAGGAGAAAGTGGCCTTGCTGGGTTGAGGATTTTGTAAGAGATAATATGGGGGTCCCAAAAAGTTCAGGCTAGACAGTCCCTAACCCGATAGGTTGGATAGCTGCGTTCAAGGCCCACCCCTGCCTTTGACACATGGTGTGACAATTCCCTGGCCCCTCTGGGCCTGTTTTCCCATCTGTAAAATGGGCCTGGGCCATGCAAAGGAGCTATTTTTTTCACCCTCAGCAGCATCTCTGCCCTGGCTTTGGGGTCCCCTCATCCTCAGCAGGGTTATGAGGGTTATGAGCTGCCATTGGGGAGGGGGGAAGATATCCTCCAGGAAGATGAGCAGAGGGTGTGACACTCCAGTCCGGGACCTCCTTTTCCTGTCCCCTGAGTTGTCCCTGCCCCCAGTACCCACGTAGACACACAGATAACCCTTTTTTCCTCTTTTCCTTTTGGAAGTAAAGAAGACTGACTGCAGGGCCCTCCTCTACCCTTGATCCCTTTCACTGTCCTCCCTGTCTTTCCTACTTGGCCTGTCTATAACACCTTCCCTTTGCTTTATTAATGCCCGACCCTGGGGCACTAACCCGTCTCCCACTGTCTCTAACAAGATTCCTGAGATCCCCATTGCTCCCTATCCCTCCTAGAAAGGAAAAAAGGAAAGGAGGTCATGGACCTCCCTCCCTTAGCCCCGAAGGAAGGCAGTCAACAGGGCCAGGCCAGGCCATCGACCTCCCCGGGGCATAGCGATGCCCCTCCTTCCCCAGGAGATTCCTGCCCAGCCTATGGGAAGCCCTCCCGATTGATAAGCCCTCAAACCCACCCTGCTCCTCGGAGCCTTGCCTTCTCTCAAGGTCTGCAAGGCCCTTAGACCTAGGCTGGCTCGGCCCCTCCGGGGGCAGAATGGACAGGCCTGGCTCATGGCCTGGCCTGACCTCCCTGGGGCCCCCGGCCCCCCAGGACTGCCTTTGTCGTTCACCTGACTCTCTCTGCTTCCCTTACAGAAAGCACTCCGATCCGAGGTAAGAGGCTCTTTACTCACCCACCCACCCACTCATGCTCTCTTGCTGCCCACCCAGCCCCCCAGGCTCCATGGGAGGCTGCCGCAGGCCCCCCCTCCAAGTGTCTCCTCCTCACCACCCTGCCCAGTGTTCGTCTATTCTCTGTGTCTATGTTGCTGCCTGTGGCTTGGGGTCAAGCCTGGCCATGGTGGCTCCTCAGGCCACCTGGCTGTAGGAAGGGAGCTGTCTCCCGCTCTGGAAGGGCGGTGCCTCCCAGGCCCACCCATTGCTCTGTGTGCAGCCCCGTCCATCTCCAGCCTCAGTTTTCCCATTGGTAAAGTGAGTGTACAGAAGGGGTCTTCCAGCTCTGAAGCTTTGACCTGCGGCTTCTATCCCGAGGGATCAGGGAGACAGGCCGCCTCAAAGGCCAGATCTGACTTTAGCCCCTGGGTACTGCCCCAGAGAATAGACTAGAATAGGCCTGACTAGGAGCCCTAGGAAAGAGTCAGTGTCTAATCCTGGCATTACCATGAAATGCTGTGTGACATAGGGCAGCCTCTCTGCTCTCTCTAGGCCTCTATAACAATACCTGCCTTCCTGCTTCCTCAGAGCCTTGAAGTTGGGGAAAAGTAAGAATGTCACATGAGGGAAGACCCTCTTCCACCTTCCAAATGAGGTGTCCCATGTCACTCCCATGGGACAACCATGAACAAAACTAGGAGGAGGGGTCTGCTTGGGAACTTGGACTGGATTTTCAGACTCTTGGTGCCAGGAACTCTGATCAAAGCCTGTGATTCTAACACACTTGGAGATACTCATATTTATTTACAGGTCATTAAGCACTTGCGCCCAGGCCTGTGGTTCAGACATAGTAAGAGATGTTCACTCATCCTATTTACTTGTGAAACTGAGGGTTTGCCCCAGGTCTTGGTTTCAGGTGTCCTTGGGGAAATCCTGGGCTCATTTTCATTTACTCCTGGGCACTGTAGTGCTTGATCAAGGCCTGTGCTTTCACATATTTTTGAGAAGTTTCATTCATTCTTCTATGATCATGGGAAGTGAAGTCTGCTTTTGGGCCTGTGATTTCTAACGTGCTGAGAGGAAATCAGCCCTATTTTCATTGACCTCAGGGGCACTAAGATCTATGATTTGGGCCTGTGATTTTAAATACACGTGAGAAAATTGGCCTCTTCTTTATATTTGTATTCACTCATGACCAATAAATTCTTTGATCCAGGCTTGTGATTTCAAATATACTTGATGTTTATCAGTTCGACTTCCTTTAACTGTCATCAGGAGTAACCCAGTCCTGAAATTTCATTCAAACACCCTTGAAGAGTTAACAACCTGCCTCTGTTGACTTGCGGGCACTGCGGGCTTTGGGGCCTGTGATTGCAAACACACATGAGGATCCCAGACCCATGTTCATGTCCATCTGAGCACTGGGTAAAACCAGCATAGCACCCACCGGCTCCATGAATTTGCACATCGCTTGGCGTGGCCCGTTAGGTCCTAGGGTCTCTGGAATGACTGCTGTGGGGCATGAATAACCGTCTCTCCCCTTTGCCTGGACAGTATAACTCGGTGTTTTTGCAAATTCACCATCATGGCACACACACCACCCCAGCTTGTAGTTCACGTTGGCAGCTGTTTATGAAGGCCGAGCTCCATGACCAGCTGCTTTTACAGTGACAGTGGAGGATTTCTGGGGAGTGTGGTGTGTTCAGGAAAGTATGGGGCTAGACTCGGGGTAGGGGGAGACGAGCCAGGGAGGTGCCAGACTAGCTGGGGCTTCCAGGCTAACTCAACTCTTTCATCTGCCTCTGGCCCAGCCAGAACAAGATCGGGCCAGATGGGACTCTGGGAGAGCCCTCTCAGCCCACCCCTGGGCATCCCCTGACTGGCCAAACTTTCTTCCCTCTCCCCACAGGGGCTCTGCAGATTGAGAGCAGCGAGGAGACCGACCAGGGCAAATATGAGTGTGTGGCCACCAATAGCGCTGGTGTGCGCTACTCCTCACCTGCCAACCTCTACGTGCGAGGTAGGGAACGCCGTATCCAGGTCGAAGTCAGGGACCTGCCCCATCCTGTCCCCATCCCTCCTGGGGCTCACAGCCTCCGGGCTCCCCTGTCCCCTGCAGACCGGAGCAGGAGAGCCCTCCTGCCCAGTCGAGGCAGGACCTTGGGCCAGGCGGCATCCCTCTCTAGATCTGAGTTTCCTTGCCTATAAAATGGAGGCAGCTTAAGTCCCCACCCCTGTGCTTTGTGATAGACGCCCAAGTGGGGTACCGGACTTGGGGGAGGGCAGGATGGAACAGGGCAGGGCCTGGGGCGGGGGCGATTCAGTCTGGAGCCTACAGGGCCGGGGGAGTCTGCAGGCCTCTGCCCCACCC